TACTCACRCAAACCATGAACTCACTGAACTTTATAAGCTGACTATAGTATGCATCTCAGGGACAGAAGGTTTCAAGTTGGACAAAGAAAAAGAAGGGCATACATAGAGACTTGTCTAGTCCATTTAAGTTCAATATTTAGGCGCAATCGTCTATGATATATATATTTGTAAAACAACCCGGTATGGGACGGGCTGACATTAAGTTATATATTTATTCTTTTAAAGTCTTCCGCTGTAAACGGTCTAAAGTTTTAATTTAACCATTGTTTTTGGAGTGCTTTTGGAGAATCTGTTTTAGATTACGTAACATCTCTCATGGTAAAAATATGGGTGTTACAGAAAAGTTGGAGAAATGATGGTGTGGGCCTCTTGGTTTTAGATTATGATATATTTGGTTTTATCAAGATTATGGTATATTGGGTTAAGGGTATATTTGGTATTTTGAAAATGTAGAATTCCATTCCACCAAAATACCACCTATATGTCATGGAATGTTCAAATACTTAATTTGTGGAATTTGATGGATTAGAAGATTCCTTTCTCTAAAAAAGAATAAACAAAATGAGATAATGAAATTTGGTTAAAGAAATTCAACATTCCAATTCTGTTAGATTCCTACAAAATCTGTGAACCAAACGCCACCTTAGAGAGCGATTGAAGCGGAGAGCCAGTCGTGTGGGAGGTTGGTATCAACCAAAGCCGAAGATGGACGGAGTGGGTGAAAATCGATGTTGAGAGAGAAGGTGGGGAGAACATCTGCAGGGTTCCAAATTGGTGGAACGGGGAAGATGAATCGTGATCCATACATATGCATTACTTATAATAATATATAATACTAATATTATATAAAAACTAATTAATAATTCAATAGATATAAAAAAGAAAGATGATAAATTGACCACTTTGCTCCCGTATTTACTGGAAATAGTAGACTGTTATTTGTATCAAGGACCAACTCTAAGACAAATTGCATAGACAGAGGGTTCTTTTGTAATAAATAAAGATAAATGACCATTTCCGTAACAGATGACAAACCCCATGGACCGAATCTGTAATTTACTTTAATATTTATATGTGTGTTGTAATTGCATATTCAAATACTAAAGTCATATTTGACAACCATAAGTCAGCTTATGTTTTACAATTATTGACAATGTCCCTTTCAGCAGAGGCGGAGCCAGGAATTTTGAATGAGGGGGGTTTGATTGTTCAATGTCACACTTTGTTAAACAATAGAGACCATTTGGACTAAAATTGTACTTTGATATGAAGTTGATATGGTCCAAGTCTGATATATGCTCGACTAATTCCACATTTTAAAAATTTTAAAAAATTACAGTGTCCTTAGTTGAAGGTTTGTTTTGGACCTTTGGTTTATAACTTATCACCATTGCCGCCTTTTTTGTTTCATGTTTATCAATACTAGACTTTTAGATTGTAAGTGTTTCATGTGCGTGGTTTTGGTGAGTTCGAACCAAAAACAAGGAAAAAGAAGTCGTCTTAGGGGGTGTTTGGTCCACAAAATGGAATTTTATGGAACTGGAATCCATCAAAGAAATTTGACTTTGAAAGAATTGGAATGAAATTTGACCATGCGTTTGGTTGATAGGAATTGGAATGAAAGCTCTCAATAGAATTAAAACAATCGTCTTTGTTTGGATTAT